CCTATATACAGTTATTTAGAGTATTTTTAATGAATTTTATAAATTCAACAACAAAAGGTATAGAAAACTTTGATAAGTACCAGAATTTGAATTCAACAAGCATTTTATATTCATAAATTAAAATTAAATTATTAACAGATAAATATAAAGCAGACCACATTACCCCTTGGTTGAGAATCTCTGGGTTAGACTTGATATTTAATACTGCTATGTAAAATTTTCAATTTATCAGTTTCAGTATAGATTAGTTTTATGGACTACTAGAAGCATTCTGAGGTAAATTTCAAATTTTTAGCGAAGAGTTTCGAATTTCTGGCAAATAGTAGTACAGTCAAATACAGAGAAAATCCGCCAACTCCTGAAATCCGCGTTGCCTCTCAGAATATAAACATTTAGTTTATAGGTTCTGGAAACCGCAACATGGAGTATGAAATATTGAAGAAAAAATACTTATTGGATAATGACATCATAATTATCGAGTACTAATGAGTCATAATGGAAATACCAAATTATTGAAATGATAAATGTTTTTTCAATGCAATCTGCATTGAGGTAAAAAAGGAGACAGTTCACTCTTCTTTCAAGTTCATGATTCACGTTGTTGTACTTTCTGTGCTTTGTTATTTCACGAGATTGTTTAGTGCTGCTGTTTTTTTTAATCCGGATATTTTGTGTATAAATTAAGAATATTTTTAATTTCAGCACTTTTTAATATGACAGATAAGAAACACACTCATGATTTTGCTGCTTGCAACGTTGGAAAACGTAAACACGTTGCATTGACGGTAATCCAAAAAGTGGAAATTCTGTAAAAGATGGAGGCAGGTGCTACTCCTCGGTTTATAGCAGAATCGTATGGAATTGCAACATGGACTGTGTATGATATATGGAAAAATAAAGGAAAGCTGTTGAAATTTAACAGCAACACTGATTCTAGCACCGGAATCCAAAACCGGAAATCTTTACATGAGGGGAAATCGGCAAACCTTGATGCTGTCTTGTACGAGTGGTTCCGGCAGTGGCGGAGTGATGGGGTACCAATTTCAGGACTGCTCCTCAGAGAAAAGAGGAAGTAGATTCTTTCTGATTTAAAAATGGAGAAGCCTAATATAAATATATAATATATCAATTTATATACGTAATAATAATTTAAGGCATATAATAAATTATTGTAATAATGTGTATAATAATTTAATTCAATGTATATAATACACCTTATTTATTTTGCACTTTTAGTCTGAATATTATCTTTTCTGTCCTGAAATCTGCAAAATTCTAAAATCCTCACAACCTTGGTCCCAGGCTCTGCAGATTTCTGGACTTCTACTGTATTTACTTATTGTCTAACCATCAAATGTGCAAAGAGCCATATAAAAATTTTGCAAGCAGCTTGTCAGCCAAATGTCAGATGTTTATATCACACATGTATTATTTATATTAATTATATATGAAAGAAAAAATATTAACTTTTAATTTGCGATAACCATTAGTTTTCTTTTTAATTTCATTATTTGCATTCTAAAAATAATAAATTGTGAATATTTCGGAAATGTGTTATTTCTGAATAAATCCCTGTCATACAGATCTTTTATAACGCAAATGACACGTGTATTTGCGCAATGGCAAAAGTGAAAATAATATATTTTATCTAATCATAATCAGATCATTTTTAGAAAAATGCTAATTAAGTCTGTAGTCTGCCACACTTGTTTATTTCATGTAGTCTGCCACTTCTGTTTATTTCAATGTAAAAAGTATATTTTAGCTAATGATATAAATGGCACCTTAGCAGAAATATGTTTACTTCAGTAATGCTATTATAAAATAAAGAGCTGCATAAACTGACCATGACTATATTTTTTTTTTTTTTTTTCTTGTAATAGTGAATCTGCTTCATTATCATTTACATCAGACCCAAATTTTTCATGTGATATGTATTAGATGTGCATAGTATATATGCATATGTGTACACATGCATACATTGTGTACATATGTATTACATATACATATATATTTATGTATATAATGAAGAAAATTACTAACAAATTACAAACTTAATTTTCAATGCCATTATAATTCTTGCTTTTATTTGCCTACCTCCCCCTTTGCTGTACTGCATCTCTGATATCATTTATTCTTCTGCAGTAATCTGCAGTGCTGTAAGTTCTTGCCCAATCATTGTTCAGGATTCAAACAAAGGGATTCTAAGCTTATTTATAGCAAGGCTGTGTAGTTGGAGTTAGACAGATTTTTGGGTAAAAGGAGTTGGAGCTAGAAACTAAAAGGAGTTGTTACTAGAAACATGTTGACTCTAAATCCAGTTTTGTTAGACAGTTTGAAATTGAAATGAAATTAAAGTGAAGTGAAAGAAAATGACATTTAGTTATTTTCTATTCTATTGACATATTAATAAATAAAATATAAGAGAGGAGGATGGATGTGATATTTGCCATTATTCATTAACCTGATTCATTTAGTCACTTCTTCAACTCATAGATGGTATTATTGTAGCATAATTCACAACAAGAAAAAGGAGCCCATGGCTGCAAGATGCATATTGAGTCACCTAATTTGAAACTCAAAAGCATCTAATATGGTTAGAACAAATGCAGATAATGAAGAAATTGTTACAATAGATGAAAAAAGGACTGATTTAGATATCAAAACTTCTCAAGAGTATTCATATTAGATGATGTTGCTGAAAAGGAACAAAACTCTGTCAAATCAAGGAAATGCATTGTGCAGTCCAAGCTTGCTGTTAGAGATGGGTTGAAGGATACATTGTGTACATGCATACATTGTGAGATGGGTTGAAGGATATATAGGTAAATGTAGGCAAGCAGCAATAGCAGCAAGAATTCCCAAAATTAATGCCATTCTTAGGAAGCAAATAGGAAAAGGAAGAATTTATTGATCAAGTTACATGATGGGGAAGTACATATTTGATGATAAAGAGGTTGTTAGATTAAGAACTTTGTAGAAGATGTAGATAACCCCAATGTTTCACTAACAGAAAGACTGTGGAATGATCTTACAGAATTGGAAACTCTTCTTTCTACAACATATATAGCCGCAAAAAAGCTACAATCTGAAGAATTAACAGTAGGCTTGTTTCTGCGAGAATGGAAGAATGTGATGTTTGTTCTTTCTAAAATGGGGGGGGGGGGGGGACTTGTTGCAGAAGAAATCATGTCATCAATGAAAAAAAGAGAAACTAGGTTGCTAGACAGTGAGATCTTGCTGGGTTCAATATATGTAGATCCAAAACATTGAATTTTGTTAGATGACGAACAAATTAAAAAGGCAAAGAAAGGCATCTATGAACTTTCACAAAAACTGAAATTATCTTCAAAACAATTAGAGTATTCAAATCAGGCAGCCAGATTGCAGACATTGCAATTGAGTCTCTATCATCATCTTTCAATGATGAACTAGGTTTTAAGAAATGTCTGTATAATATTGAAAAGGTTAAGGCAACATGAATGAAAATAAAGAACCAAGAGCCTTTAGATATAAAAATGAAAAAATACAAGCAAGATTTCCATACAGCCCTTGAAGAAATAGAGAAATGTGTTCGTTCTTGCAAGACACCTCTTTTAGAACTTACACAAATCTATCCTGAAAAGTTAAAAGAAGTAGCCCTAATGGTAATAGCTCTTCTTACTCAAGATAGTGTGGAAAGACTATTCTCATCTCTGAAGTTCATCAAATTGGATCTATGGTCCTCAATCAAAGAAAATCTTGTTAAACCTATACTATTTCTTAGAAACTATTAATGGCAGTTTTTTTCATTTCATAATAAATGCTAATTAATATAAATAATCTGCTATGCCACCAATATTTTTTCCTGTAGCATGTATTCTTTTATATTAAAAAAAAGGCCTTACCACATTTGTATATGTTTACATATATGTGAGGGAGTTGGAGTCAGTCATTTTCCCTGCCAACTCCACAGCCCTGATTTATAGGCCTTGCCAAAGTATGCAGTCACTTTTCTTCCCTGGTGTCACCATGCAAGCATGTTATTAACCAACTGGCAATTTTTATCTATTTTCTAGAAATATAATTTGTTTTATGTAATTGTGCAGATTGCACCCTTTGTGCTGTGTCATTCAAGAAGATATCTGCTGTGAAATTAGTCATCCAGAAATAAAATGATGTTTTAACTATCAAGCTAGTTGTGGTTTCCAGAGCTCCAGTTATCTACTACACAATCTGTATTTCAGCAATCTTTCAACTTCATTCCATCTACAATCACAAAATAACTGCCGTCTTCTCTCATTATACCACTGAAACATCACACACATAAATATTTTTGGGAAATTTCAAATTAAAAGTGATGTATTATTAAAGTTGTGCAGTATACTGCAAAATTAATTATTTAAACACAAGATAATAATAAATCAAAATTAAATCATGAAAGGTCAGCTACCCTATAATAGGAATTGCAGATGTCAAAATTAAAAGTATAGCCATTTCAAAATTAAAACAAAAACAATTCAATAAAATTAGATTCATAAAAAAATTGCTGAAAATTTCTTTCTTTTTTCCCCCCAAAGGAGCTACTTTTGAATACTTACTACTATAAAACTTTTGAATTAAAACACCAGCATCTCTAAAAAAATAACAGCAAATGCAGTTTTTAATCAAATTACCAGCTTTAAAAATGTTTGAACAGAAAGTGAGCAACAACAGGAAGAAATTCTTATTCTTACTAAAATTAATGAAATTCCAATTAACTTCATTAACAGTCTTTTGAAAAAAGCTGGAGTACCATATAAAGTTTTTTAAAGGTATGAATTTTTTATTTAAAACCTCAAATAGAGAAGAATATTTATAATGTATATTTATATGACTGTACAATTTTTTTTTACTTCAATTTACTTTACTTTTATTAACAGAGGGCCTATTTTATTTTGAATTGTCATGATAAGTCCATTATGTGAAGACTTATTCTTTTCTCTTTTTCCCTTTTCTTACTTTTCTTTCGTATATTCCAGCTCTAAAAAAAAATTAGAAAATTTCTTTCAAGATTTTAATTCATCGTTTGGAAAATTTATAATTTGCTGTCACCAATTTGTTTCACCAGTGAAGCCAAACTGACAATCTTAAGCATCTGGTTTTGAATCTCGTTCTTCTGGTCTTTGTTTCCCTTTGAGTAAGTTATGATTTCAATATTCTCTGTTAATTTCTAAGTGTATTTCATATTACTACATTTTAATTGCAATTTTAAATTCAATAAAAAGTGTCTAATTAATATCTTTTACAGTATTTGACATTAGAAATTTTTGCATATAGATTTGTTTTGGTATATATCTTTAACAGATTGTCTCATCATTGAGGAAGAGTTCAAAATTTTTGGGCGAACTGTTATAATTAAATATTTTAGAATATCAGCTAATTTTAGTTTATCAGCTAATTTTAGATTAACAGCAATACAGTGGTTTTCAAAGGGAAGGGGTTCAATTGAATCTGATCTGCCTCCTCTTGGTAACATTGAATCATATTTTAATTTCATTCCTCTCCCTACATAATTTTCATATTTTTTGTAATTTTTGTATTTCACATATCTATAATTATTCTGGTTTGGTAACTATCACCTGATTTTTTGCATATTTAAAGTGATTTTGGTTTTTGGTAGTTTTGAATTTCATTTCTTTCACGTCTTTGTGTATTTGTTTCTAAATTTCTTATCTGTATGTATGTATGTATATCTCTATCTCTCTCTCTCTATATATATATATATGTTAGAGTGTGTACTTATGAAATAATCCAGAAATGATGCTAATACAAAGGGTTGATATAGAGTTAGATGTATGCGCTAGGCTTAATGTCTTTCATGAGAGCAATTCTTAGTTGATGAAACCATGATGCAATCTGTGATTTATCCTTAGGTCAATGTTCGTCTTACTTTCTTCGGGAACATGCAAGGACCTGACTCGGAACAGAGAGCTTACTAAAGCTATGTTCAATAACTGTGGGAAGTAGACAGGATACACAAGAAGGGTATACAAAACCCTTTGTTTTTCTCTCTTTACAATAATTTCCGTACTTCGGAATACAAAGACCCACTACTTGTGGTCTAAACGTAAGAATATAAAAATATTTAACTAAACTCTAACTTAACTTTGGAATAATAAACGTGGAAGATTGGCCTTATATTAACAGGAAGCCGTATGTAGTACAGAGAACTGTTAACACTACAATACGTTTAAAAATTATCACGAGGATTAAAACCTCTGGCCTGGAAGGCAACCAGCAACTGAGTAACTTCTAAGGTAAGCGGCCTGCTTCGACTAACTCCATCCTCTCTCTCTCGCTTGGCAAAAAGCCACAACTTAAGTACTTGGCGTTCGCCAGACAAATTTTGCATAAATAAGTTAACGCTTTTAATTCTGGCCGGAAGTAGAAAATAAGAAGTGATAGTAAAGATTTAAAATAAAATAAACGTTAGTAAAACTTAAGATCCTTACATACTTCCCGCCAGAGTTAATTAGTTTTAAAACTGAGGTCTAAAACGACCTTGTTGAAAACTTTAGCTCTAGAATCTAACGCGAGGCCAATCTTTTACAAACATTTCTCACTAGAAACTAGAAATTAAAAAAAAAAAAAATTTGTTTTTACAATAGCAGCTCCAAGGACACGCAATTTTTCATCTGTACTGCATCTAAACAGGAGCTTTTATTCAAATCTGGTTCCTTCCAGAGATCTGGAAGGAAAACTAGTTTAATGAAATGTTACACAATGAAATGTTTAATGAAATGTTACACAATGAAATGGCAAGTAACATGCATATTTTATATTTCTCTTAACATTCTTATTTCATTCATGACTATTTTAATTATCTCTCCCCGTGCTCTCTGACATGTGTTGTAAAAGAACACCAAACACGAATGTGTTTATGTATACGTGTTCAACACTTCCTCCTACAATCAAAACACTAACGTGTTAAAAATTCAACATACCAAGACCTCATAACACACCCTAACTTCAACTCTAAACCCTGAGGTACTATTCTGAAGTGTTAACTGAATGTAGAGAGAGATAACAATTTAACAATTTTCACCATGATTGTTTTTTACAGTACACGAATAAAAAAAGAAACTTTCAAGTCAACCAGATATTTTAAAGAACATTAGATTTATATAACATACCTTTTAGGCAGAAAGAAAATACCTAAATTAAATTAGAAATTTAAAGGACTGTTGCAAAGAATTTTGTCTTACATATTTATGTTATAGTATAATCCCCCTCCAGAAGGGAAAACGGCTTAAGGAGAAGAGGCCTTTTTAAAGAAAGTCACATTACAGCAGTGAGAGATGGAGAAAAATATTATAATGTACACTGCTGGCCATTAAAATTGCAACTCCAGGAAGGAATGATCTGACAAACATCATAATCACATGAAAGGAAGAAGTTGGGATATGCAAATGGATTAGTATTTCAGTGCATTTAGACGACACAGGAGGGAGAAAGGACATCTGAAGCTCTGCATTAAAGAAAAGTTGTGTAGTGGATTTCATTCAGAAAGTGCTTTGTAAGGTTAGAGTTTGCTTAGAATGTCATTATGCCTCGAATGAGAAGCGGAAATGCTTACCAGTAACTTTTGAAATTCAATAGAGGCAGGATCGTTGCCTATCGAAAGTGTTGATTATTGTTCCCTGATGTTGCCGGTTGCACTGGTTAATCCAACCACTGTCATGTGACTATGTAATCAATGGATTGCTGAGGGTCATACTTAACGGCATGCAGGATTTCAACGCCCTCCCATAACTAATGCTATAGAGAACAGATATATTGTAAAGTCAACCCTGCAAAACCGTACTACCACATCACAGACCATTAGTCAGGAAATGGGCATGTTTGCAGCATGCTCGGTATCCACTTCTACTTTGCATCAATGTTTCCAGCATTATAGACTAGCAGCACGGGGACCATTACTTTGGCTTCACTTGACAATTCAACATAGAGAGACATGGTGACTCTCATGTGCAGAATGACAGAGCTGGGTACAGGAGTGGCAAATTGTTGTCTTTTCAGATGAGTTCCTGTTCTGTGTGCAGTATTCTGATGGCCATATACGTGTCTGGAGTGCCTGAGGAGACCGCACTGCTTGCATTCAGTTTTGGCATAGGGGCCCTCCACCTTGTGTGATGGTTTGGGCAGCCATTGAGTACACAGCACACACATCTCTAGTTCAGATCAACAGTAGTTTGAAAACAGATGGGTACATTTCTGACATTTTACGTCCAGTGGTTGTGCCCTGTCTTCAAGGCACCCAAATGCCATGTTCCAACAAGATAATGCAAGACCACATCCTCCAGATCTGTCATCCATTGAAAACATCTGGTTTTGGGTTGCTGAGAGACTGGTCCACCACCTCTCTCCAGCTAATACGGTTGATAAAGTGTGGCATAGACTTGAAGCAGCATGGAATATGTTACCCATTTCTGTCATCAAAGCCCAGTTTGACTCCATGCCTAATGGAGTAAGGTCGTTTTAGTTGTCAGAGGTGGCAGGTATTTCTACTAATTTTGCACCCCCTCTAAACCTTCAAAATGCTTACAAATTTTATGATTTTGTCCTTATGCCATACTGTTTATGTGCAATAAATATCTTTTTTGTATTTGCTTCATATTGTTGCAATTTTATTGGCCAGCAATGTAGAAAATACTAATCATGAAATTTGGTATTAAATAATTTTGAAATAAAGCAGAATTCTTTGTATTTATTGCAAGCACATTTTTTTTTTTTTTTTTTTTTTTTTTTTTTTTTTTTTTTTTTAAGAATGAATGTAATTTCATATTGAAGATTCAGTCCAATTAAAATTTCTTGTTTCTGTGAAGTCCAAAAGACAGTTCTGTTTCTTCAGGGAAAGCTTTTCGTACTTTTATTACAAAATATCATAAATAAAAATCTTTTACATATCAGAAGCATATTTCAAATGCATTATAGCAAATTAGAAAAATTTATAACATACTAATTTTCATATTTATAACTTACATTTAAACATTATAAATATTGTGATGTTTGGGTAAAATTATGATACTTTTGTTACATTTCATTAACGTTTCTTACTTTTGAGTGTTTCACAGTTCTCTATAAACAGACGAATGTTAACTGGCTCTCTGAAAACTGCTTTATACATTCTAAAGTAATTTAAAAAATGTATCACATTTAGAGCTAACGAAAAGAAGCCCGTCCCAAGGATAAAAAAAGGAAGCACCACAAAATGTTGCTTTGGGACTCAAGGAACGAAGACACAAAAAAATTTACCATTGCCATTTTAGCATATAATGTATGGTGCAGCTAAACCAAGACCGAGTGAGGAGGAATGGGTCAAAAATCAGCATAAGTATATAGGGGGTGCAAAAGTTGTTTAAGTTCTTATTGCTTTGAGAAGTCTTAATCCAATCCTGATCATATTCATTCTTATAAATGGTAGCTCTCAATGTTGTGTTGTATGAGATGGTAAAAGGAACAACTATACTCCTTTGATTATAAACCAGTACTTCCTATAACATACTCTATTCTTTATATTCAATTACCATTGCATAACACTCATTCACAAAAGTTTTAAACTATTTTTTTCTCCTTTTTGGTATTTAAATGACATTACTCAGTTTTATTAGAATTATTGAATTTCTTAAATCAATAATTTAGTCATTAGAACAATATTCAAAGTAACAGCATTTAATATTTTCCACATTACTGAAAAATAATTTTATATCATTTTCTATTAAATTACTATATCATTATTTCACATTTACCTCATTTTCAAAATAAATCAAAATATTTCACAATAATTAAGATATATAATTATTAATGCATTTTAACAAATTTAAACAACCTTCTTTAAACAAAATGCTTCAAAACTTTTTTGTTCAAATTTAAATTACTTGTAGCATAAAATTTTAATGTGATATTTTCATAAAAATACCATTGCATATTTAAAGTTCAAAATAGCAATAATTATTAGCAATTTTCTGAGTTATGCTTATATAAAACATTTCTAATTGCAATAATTAATGAATAATTGCTTATTTCTTAGATAGGAAAAACTTTAAACATGCTTTATAAGCAAGACTATAAAATGATTTGAGCTAGCAAAATTAATAATTGCCAAAATCATTAAATGAAAATATTAAAATAATTGCA